CTCTCTCTCTCTCTCTCTCTCTCTCTCTCTCTCTCTCTCACACACACACACACACACACACATTGGTCTCTCTCTCCTCTCCCTCTCTTGCTAACTCTGAAATAGAGGAAACCAGAAACTTAGCATAGTTTTTAATGTTCTTCAACTACCTCACTTAATAAAACATCTTGTTTTCATCCTTCTCTCTCTCTCTCTCTCTCTCTCTCTCTCTGAGAGGCTGAGCATTACCTTGTTTAAGTCTCTATATGCTCAGATCTACCTATCCTCTTTGATAGTTGTCCTGCTTTCTTGAGCTTTTTTAGTGGCTAAAGATGAGTAAAGAAGAATTCTTGAAGATCCAGGTGACTTTTTTCTCATAACATTGCAGATCAAATGTCATGTGTGGCTATTTAATTTAAATTAGGAGGAAGAAAAATGTGGGTTTCTACATTTTTTTGGGGCCTTCTTGTGTTGGGTTTGGCTGTTACTTGTTACTCAATTTTTCAAGATTCTTGATATCATCAATATAATTTCACTTTGTATATATGCTTTGTTTTCTTTCTTTCTTTTCAGTTTATTCAGTTAGATAACTTGTTTTCATGAACCCAAGTTTCTTTTTTTTTTTAAAAAAAAAAAAATTATGATTGTTCTTCATTATCTCATTTTTCTTGTTTTAATTAGAATTCCCATTATAAATTTAGTTGTTTTTTTTTTTATTTTTTAATTTTTGGGCTCTAGAGGTCTTTGATTCTTGATTCTGAACAATAAAGTTGTGAACTTTAACCTTGTTTATGTTGTGTGTCTTTGATTGTTTTTATGCAGACTTGTGTCCTCAAGGTCAACATACACTGTGATGGATGTAAGCATAAAGTGAAGAAAATCCTGCAGAAGATTGATGGTAAAATGATATCCCATTACTTGTCCTCATTTGGGGTTTTCTCATTTTAACAAAATAAAGAGTGATACCAATTTATTTGAATCTGAATTTAGTGATACTTATTCTATATATGTATATATATATATATATCTACCTATCTTTCTTCTTTAAAAATATCTTAGGAAACTAAATTGTCCTTTTCTAAAATCACCAGCATCTCATTTTGCATATGTTCTCTCCTTGTCCTTGATTTGGACCCAATTGCTGCACAAAAATTGTGGTGAAAGTTGAAAAATTTTGGTTTGTGTTTGGTCAGGCGTGTACACTATGAAGATAGAGCCGGAGCAGGGGAAGGTGACGGTGTCGGGCAACGTTGACCCGGCCACCATCATCAAGAAGCTGACCAAAAACGGCAAGCACGCCGAGCTATGGGGCGCCCCTAAGCCCAACAACCAAAATCAGATGAACAACCAGTTCAAGAATCTCCAACTCGACACCGGCAAAGGCGGGAACAACAACAACAACAACAACAACAACAACAAAAACAACAAGCAGCAGCAGCAGCAGCCGCCGATGCTCATGCCACAGGGGCATAAGGGTAATAATAACAACCAGCCTAAAGGGGGAGGCCTTCACCCCCAGCTCCCACCAATGAAGGGGTTCCAAGATCTGAAGCTCCCACCTCAGTTCATGAAGGACATGAAGATGCCCCCTCTAGGTGGTGGTGGTGGTGGTGGTGGGCCCCACAATGGCAAGGGCCAGGTAATCGGCGGGAAAACCCCTGGTGGCGGAGGCGGCGGCACCAGCAAGTTCGATGACGATGATGAGTTCGATGATGATGATGATGAGTTTGATGATGACGAGTTCGATGACGATGATGATGAGTTTGACGACGACGATGACGAAGATGATGAGCTGGACGAAATTGCCCCTCCTCCCAACAAGCCCAAGCCCGCTGGCATCATGGGTGGAAAAGGTGGGGTCCCGGGCCCACAAATGCCGCCCAACGCTCTCATGAACAACATGATGAACGGTCTTAAGGGTGCCGGCGGAGCCTTTCCTGGAATGAATCCCGGCGGCAAGAAAGGTAATGATGGCGGTGGTAATAGTAATAATAATAAAAAGGGTGGGCCACCGCCATCCATCGGTGGTAAGAACGGCGGTGGGCCACCACCCAACGGCGGTCCCAACAAGAACGGCGGCGGTATGCCGCCAAATATGAATGGTTTTATGGGCAAGAAAGGGGGTGGGATGAGTGATGGGCCCCACCACGGCATGCCGCCCAACATGATGATGGCCATGAACAGGGGTAGCAATCCACCGCAGATGGGCGGCAACCATCCCCAAATGGGCAACCATCCCCAAATGGGCGGCAATTATCCACAAATGGGGAATCCGGCTGCTGTTCAGGGCTTGCCGGCCATGAACGGGGCAGAGCACATGGGAGGAGGGAACCCGTACTTCCACCAGCAGCAACAACAACAGCAACTGGCAGCAATGATGATGAACCAACAGCGGGCGAATGGGAATGAACGGTTCCAGCCGATGATGTACGCGAGGCCACCTCCGGCCGTCAACTACATGCCTCCGCCAATGCAGTATCCGCCCTACCCGTACCCGCCGCCGGGCGAGCGGGCCGACCAGTACGCCATGTTCAGCGACGAGAACACGTCTAGTTGTAGTGTGATGTGATTAATCATATATGATATTCGGTGGGTCCCTGTGAATGAATTCGCTCGGTTCTTGTTGGAGTGCCGTGGCGGCGGCGGCAGCAGCGGCGGCATGGCCGGAGTTTCCAAGATTCATGACTTGCTGTCTAGTCTTGATGATGCCATATTATTATACCTTGAGATGGTTATTTTTTCACTTACTACCTTTTTTTTTTCTTCAAATTATATTTTTGGCTCCCCTTTTTCTCCTTTAAAATCCTAAGTCTAGACTAGTGGTCTCATGACATATCATAGGGAGTATTTTGATAGGTGCATGATATATATATTTAAGGAAAAGGGCCTTGAGACAATTAATTTACTTTGTGGATGTTTATATGATGTTTATATGTTGAAAGACACAAATAAATTGTTAAAGAGCATGGGATTTAAAAAGAAGAAACATTGCCCTCTTTCACTCTTTAGTTATCAATTTATTTGTTTGTTCTTTTCAATCCCTTTGTTTTGGTTCAATCAACTAACCTTCTCACCTATTGTTCTTTTATGTATGAATATTTAGAAACTGCAATTGGTCAAAGAAATAGATTAAGAAAAGTTCAAACAAATTGATATAAAAGAAAAGGAAAAAAAAAACAAACTCAAACTAATTAATTGACATAAAAATGAATATGTGTACTTTGACTAAGTGGATATCCATGTAAGAATATGTGAATCAAAGTATTGGAATCATAATTAGTGATTTTATTGTTCTTGGTCTTTATTTAATGGTTACACGAATCCGAACCATTAATCTGGATATTTATTGGATGCACCAGATATAAAGTCACATCTATACAAATTATTACTCTCTCCTCTAATTAGGTATGAATATTATCCATCAGCTTTCTGCTACGTAAACCAACCGTCAACCGGGAGAAACTAGCTTTAATCAAGGAAATCAATAGGAGCTTCGTGTGTTCTTCAAGAACACAATTATGTCATCTTCCACAACATGTAAGTATTTTGTATAAACTAAATTATTTATTCAAGATCCGTAAATTTATGATTATGATCCAAACACCTATCACTTCAAAAAATTGTCAAAATGCCAACAAAAATTTTTTCGTTGGAAATTAGCAACGGATCACCAACGGATTAGCAATGCATTATGCATACAATCTTTTTTTAAAACAGATTACCAACAGAATGCTAACAAAATATAGCAACAAAAAGTTACATATAACTCAAAATATGAACTTTCTTAAATATATCAAAATTGAAAGAAATCAATTTTTTTTATTTCTTATGTCTATATAACTAAAGTTCTAGTCAAATCTTACTAGTCAAAAAGGTTGTATAAACTCAAATAGTGTGGTTTATTCTTATTAAAAACACTAAGTATAGATGTAAACATTGTGACTTTGACTAAGTGGGTATCCAAACACTCAAAATATAAACTTTCTAAAATATATTAAAGTTGAAGAAATTAATTTGGATTTCATTAGTCCATATGTTTGAAGTAGTGTGGTTGGTGTGTGGGGGATTTGACAAAATCAAGTACCTTACTAAAACCATCTAGATAAAATTAAGTCATGTGATTAGTAAAGCAAAACCAACCCTTCCAAAAAAGTCAAAAAAAAAAAATAATAAAAAAAAATAAAAAAATAAATAATTAAATACTAAGTAATAATACAATGTCTTTTGTTTTTATTTGAATTACAAACGCGTTTATAATGGAGAACCATTGACATTATTGAAATTGTCTTCCACTATTGTATATGTGGGCATGAGTGGAATTATGAAGAGCAATTTGAGGGGTGTGGGGGCAATTTTACATAATTTTCATAAAATGGATGAAAACATATTGGGCCCATTCATTGATGAAGAGTAGGCCCACCACCCAAATTTATGTTATCTGTGCATTTATGGAGTGTGGGGTATTTTTATTTATTGGTTTTGGTATCATGCCAAAAACTCGATAATCAGTAACATTGATTTGTAAAGAAGCCGTTTGCAACAAAAGTGCTGCAATTTTCTTTACCACAGTAGTATATATTGGGCAATTTGCTGAAATGGAGATCAAATTAACCACTCGCCGGTAGAAACAAAATCGAGTCGAATCGTGCAATTCGACGCGGTTTGAAAAGATTATATTAGTACATCATATTTTTTTCATTTTTGGTTCGTTCGGGTTTGGTTTCTTTGTGTGTTGTGGAGTAATTCGGCCCTTTTTTTTTTGTTCATTTGGGTTTGATTTTGCACGAATCAAACGCAAATGCATAAAAAAAGAAAAAAATAAATAAATCAGATCTCTTGGTTCCATAATTTTTGATGTAAAATATCCTTTTTTTTTTGGTTTTTGTGATTTAGTGCAATTTTAATTTTTTAGTTTTTGTGATTTAGTGCAATTTTTTGTCGAACTACATCGTTGCCTAACCCTACTCATTGATATTTGGGAACACGTGTTTGTTTTTTTATTTTCCTGAAATAATTTTAAAAAAATATACGAGATATATATGTTTATATAATTGTTGGGTCTTCTGTTAGGCTAGTATAATCATTATACCGACATATTTTTCTCATAAATATACACTTACATTAAAAAATATCATAATTAAAAAAAAATAATATAAACATAAGTATGACATTTGATAATATAAATATATATTTTTATTCAAATAATGTAACATGTCAATCTGTCTAACTGTTAGGCTATCTCATACAACGAGGTGTTTTATATAGTATACTCTCTACTATCAATATGTCAATGTCTACCATTCATACTCCATTCTTCAAAAGAACAAGAGCACCACACCCCACTTTTGGTACTATGAAGAGATGTGAAATATCACTTTTTTACCCCTAAAGGAATAGTGCTTTTTATCTCTATATTCCATATCAATAAATGATATATAGGTAAGTAATTAAATTGTCTGTCTCATGGAGTATATAGCGAATAGAATCCTAGGCTCTGAAGTTTTTATGTATTCATAGTACAATGCTCGTGAACTACACGATGTTTGAAGAAAAAATAAATTGCGAAACAAAGAATGAAAAATAAATAAAATTATTATTGTGAGATAAAAATTATAAATTATTGATAATATGGTCAAAGAGTTTGTAATATTATTTTAAATTCTTGAAAATATTTTGTATAAAATATTATTTATTTTATTTAATATACATTCATTTTTTCACAATTGAATAGGATAATTAATTTATTCTGCAGTTTATATAACACCCGTGCACAATAGAGGCGCATTAAAATAAAAATAAAATATTGTATCAAAGAAATAAGTGAAGAAATTTATATTACAATATTATGATGATAAAATAACTATTTTGTTAAAATATTATTTTTAAACATTACATCCATACACACGCACACACATGTATGTGTATGTTTTCTACAACACAATATTTTATTTTAAATTAATTTAATTTTTTTCAAGTTTGATTAATATTTTATATACACAATTTTTGTAGCGCCCCGTTGTTTTTAAACAGAAAACCCCAAGTTTTAAGAAATAGTTTAAATTTTTTAAAATCATTTTTCGATTTAAAACACCTTTCGGGCATTACTTAAAAATATTTTTTTTTTCTTTTTACCTAACTTAAGCCACATCTCAAAAACATTTTTTTTTTCTTTTTACCTAACTTAAGCCACATCTCAAGCCATTGGGAACTCATTGTCTAAAATCACAACACCTTACGATAAATCAGGACATAATGAAAAACACTCAATCATAAAAGTCTCGAATCAAAGTTATAATCATAGTTCAACAATTCAAATCCAAAACAACATAGTTTGGAAGAACGTTTACGAAAGCTAAATCAAACACAGTTCATAAAATAAGATTACACTTGCCCAATCGTCACCTCGGTCAACAACTCAACCTGGAAAAAATATCAACAGTGGAGATGAGCAAACAACTAACTTACCGCGGGAATTACTATGCAATTACTCAGTATAATATCAGACAATATAATTGCAACATGAACATAAATCATTATCACAACTATCACATCTCCACTCATTCATAAAATGCTCATGTGTACACATATTAAACCGCTGAAGGTCGAAACCGCACATGACAACAGGAGCTCGTGTCGAAGGTCGAAATTGCAAACGACACGATCTCTCATTAGGCAAACAGGAGACTGCCATCATTCGACACCGTCGAAGGTCGAAACCGCACACAATGACGGGAATACCTTATCGAATGTCGAAACCGCACACAACGACAGGTTACATGGTTCACATACGTACATTAATTATAGAATCATGCAATTATAAAGAATAAATTCATAGTAAGTTAGGGACACCCACCTCAGAAAGAAAAAGACAATTATGCAAACGCTTCACGGTAGGTTTGAGGGCTCGACTCCTCAGAATCCTAAAATTAGGCGAGATAATTTTTAATAACAAATTATCTCATTACTAAAAAATTATTAAAATTTCTCAATTAATCAAATATTAATAATTAAGGACTTTATAAATTTTTTAGTGGAATTTAGAACTCTCGGTTTAAGGAATAAGACTCGAAAAACAGTTGAAAATGACTGAAAAATGGTTTTGGCGCAAAAAACAGTTTCATTGTCCGAAAAAAATGGTTCAATGGCTCAAGAAGTGGTTCGCGGGTCTGCGCAGACTTGCCGACTCATCTAGGCTTTGTTGGCACTGATGTTGTTGCTGGAGCACGCACATAAGTCGGCAGGTGCACGCGGATGCTGGGCACTGGGCACTGGCGGTCAGCTGCGAGGTACGGTGTTATTGTTGGCCATACCTGGGTCAACGGGGTCGCTGGTAGGGATACCTGGAAGTCTTGGCGAGCGGCTACAACACCACTGGGGAACACTGGGACGTTGCGGGCGATGTTGCAAAACTTTTCAGCGCAACGTGCATGTCGTTGGGGTCTGCACGCGCCACGCATGACCCCTGCAGCGCAGCTCATGAGTGCTGCAGGTTGCTGATGAATAATCGTGTATCTTGACCCGATTTGTGATTAAAAACGTGCTAATGGCCTTCGCTTAAACACAATAAAT